TACAAAAGCTAGCTAAAAGTTTAAAGATACTCAAAGCTTTTACTTTAAAGTTTGACAAATGGGTGCATTATCTTTTGTTTTCATCGTTTTAGGTATATTTGGGCCGTCATGGCCAAGTGGTTACGGTCACCAACTTAATTTCTCTTGCCTCTCACTACTGTGAGTTTGAATCTGGTCAAGGACTTTTGATTCTTTCCTGTGAGGATGCTATCCTTCTAGCTTCCGGAATGTCGGTGGTTCTACGTGAGTGACAGCTTGTGCTTAAACTAAGGCACTAAAGGACACCTCCACTAGTATAGATGGAAAATCTCCATGTGACATTTACAGATTCATATGACTTAAAAATACAACAACTACTTTTTTAAGTATAAGCAAAATATTTAAAACTATAACAATATTAAATTTTTAAACAAGTATTGATAAGTTTAATAAATATATCTTGTTTTTATACTTTTATTTTATTAGGTACATGCAGTTAAAACTATGAACTATTTAGTGTCATTATTATGTACGCTGAGCGACCAATCAGCTCTGGTTGTGATATTACAAGAAATAAAAGCACTTGGACTGCTACATCACAATTTACTGGCGGACAACATCACGGAAATCAGTAAATTATCGCAGTGTGGGTCAAGTGCTGTAAGAATACTCGTACATCAGTTGAAAGATGATCATAAAAAATAGTAAGTTATTGTATTATAGTTGATAGTGAATGAGTGTAGGTTCAATACTAAATTTATTGAATGAGTTGAATAAAATCATATGCGAGCCCCTGATGAGCAAAATATTATTCTCTTCAATGATTTAAATAAATTTAGTAATAAACCTACACAAATATAATATTCTTTTTATATTATGCAAACCTCTGATGAGCAAAATATTGTTTTCTTCAATGATGTCAACAAATTTAATAATGAACCTTCACAGATATAATATTCTGTTTTTCGCATATTCAAAATAAGAAAGGTTTACAATAATAAAAGGTTGAATTTTTGTTAACTATGCTTACATAAGCAATCTTTTATGCTAAATTTGTGTATTGCAAATGATGACATGTTACATTGCATTGTTTCCACACTAGTGTAACATTCTTTTTATTGCACTCCTGTGTCTTGATGTACCAAAAAAGTGTGGCAATTATAGTGTGTAACCAGTATGTACTGGAAAGGCATCCTCAAGTTTAGTTAAAGTATCACTTTGTTAACATCCAAGGATTTTTTCTTACTAACCATACTTATTACATTATTGATATACAACAGTTGTGGTCAGAAGGAAATGAGATCTGTGTCAAGTCAGACTGAAGGAACGGTTACGATCATCACCGTTGGTAACCCTGCGTATCCTAGCAACGTGGTTGGTGTAAGACAACAACAACAATCCAACAGTACTAGGTCAAGTCAACAAAGTCTTTCTAAAGCTTCAAGGTACAGTGTATATATCAATGTTGCTGATTTGTTTGTATATTATTGAGTAATTGCCCTTTGTTAATTTTCATACTTTATTTTTGTCCGGGCCATTTCACCTAAATTATGAAAGCTATGGACTTGAAACTTCATAGGATGATAGATCTCATTAAGAAGAAGTGCAGTGCACAAAATCTGGTACTCTGTACTTCTTATTTTTGAGTAATTGCCCTTTGTTTTTTCATATATTATTCATGTCCAGGCCATTTTTTTCTAAACTATAAAAGCTATGGACATGAAACTTCATAGGATGATAGATCTCATTGAGAAGAAGTGCAGTGCACAAAAACCGGTACTCTGTACTTCATGATTTTAGAGTTATTGCCCTTTGTTAATTATAATACTTTATTTTTGTCCAGGCCATTTCACCTAAACTATAAAAGCTATGGACTTGAAACTCCATAGGATGATAGCTATTCAAGCTACATCAATCCTGATGTAACATTGTAACAATCAGTTCTGATGCCACTAAAGTTCAAGGTACATGTACAATATAAGAGTGGTGTCTATAAATAACCTTTATTTAAGAAGAAAATGCCTTAGTGACAGCTATTATACTGTTTACAAGGCGACACATCCTACTCGCGGAGTTCTAGACAAATTTTTTTGTTTTGTTAAATAGTTAAAATGATGTTATATGTAGTACAGTGATTTGTGACATTAATTCTTTTACATGTACAAAGTGTGAATTTATGTTTCTGTATTCCAGAAATAGTTCATCAAATGTTCGAGCCTTGAATGATCGACCTGTAAGTCCCGCCTCCACTCTCGACAGAGCATCATTAAACAGTGCCCTTACACTGAGCAGTCATTCTGGCTTGCCAGTATGTATTTATTGTTGCAATATTGATTATAATTATATAGACCTAATAACTTACAGTTATAAGACAGTGGTGTCTATGTGATTAAGGTATCTTCCCCTCAACCAAACGAAAAATGGGTTTAAAGCGGCCTTCAGCTTTTATTTTTTGTTGGAAAAAACAATTCTGTGTTGTTTTAGTAAGTATTTCAGTAATTTTATCTTGGAATATGCATCATATCGCTGCAAGCCTTCTTCAAAACAGCGTCTTGAGAGCTGTTTATAGCTTGTCACTGACGGTTTCTTAAACTTGAGGATTGGGAAACAAATCGTCTGCTTTACTTATTTACATATAGAGAGCGGACCGGTAAATTAGAAGTATCAAGGGTTTTTCTTATTGTTTATGTATTTTTTTACTTATGGCAAATTTCATTTTCCACCTTAATTCTTTCAATTTCACATTATTATGAAACAATTTATCTAAGTATGTCATTTTTAAACTTCAGAAAAGCTGACAGCTGCAGTACCTGCATACATCCACATTCACTTCAGTGTTCATGAAATGACCTTGGATAATTTACACAAACTTTTCTTTCTGATCAAAGTAGTTAAAGAAAGCTGCTAACAATTTAATACAGTGTCTGCAATGACGTACAGGCCAACCTGTATATACATGTATATACTTGTCATTCTTATTACTGTACAAACAATATGATTTATTCATATAAAATTTTTATTTCTCAGCCGGAACCAGTTCGAGATGGGGTGCAGCATTTTTGTGAGAAGCATTTAAGTACGATACGTAACTTCATCAGCAGTTTATCGGCTAGAATACCTCTTCCAGCTAAATGCAGCATTGTTGGTATATAAACTTTCTTTAATCTCATTCCTGGTAACAAACATAATATATATTTATATTAATACTTATATACATGGCTGCTGTCATTTTATGAAGAACACATGCATGACCTTGCAGCAAAATTCTGTCCGGCCCATAACTTCATTATTTGAAGTCGGATTTTACAACTATTTCACAGAAATGTTCACCATATTGAGACAAGGTGTCACGTGCAACATTTGGGCTTCTACCTTGAAGATCAAGGTCACATCATGACCTTGCAGCAAAATCGTGTCCAGCCCATAACTTATTATTTGAAGTCAGATTTTACAACTATTTCACAGAAATGATCACCATATTGAGATGTGTCAGGCGAAAGTCAGTAGATAGATCTCATTGAGTAGAAGTGCAGTGCAAAGAACAGTGCCTTGCCTAAGTTTGGAATTCTCTCACACTTTGAAATTTGTCTGGGACATAACTCTGAAACTACAAAAGATATACTTTTCTGTGTCCAAAACCTAGTCGGGGAGCATCACCCGGTTCAACCGGCTCTTGTTTTTCTAATGAAATAAGATTGCTGTATTATAAATTTGTATGAAGACTCTTCACAGGATATATGACAACTCATAAATGGTTGTTTGCAATATAACCCTCACCTATTGGCCCAAGTTATATTTCCAAGTAACTATTTATATGGGGCCATAAAACCTGTCAAAAATCTTTATAATAATATATAAAGATTAAAGTTGGGAAAATGCTTGGTGGAAGGATCCTTGCCTGTTTACCTGTCTCTTTTCCAGTTGTCACTAACATTCTTTTATATACAAGCTAAATTAACATTAAAGATACTTTTTGCCTTGCTTTGCATTCTTTTTATGAGTACACAGTTTTGTTTATTGATCTCTGAATTTACAAAATAATTTGTTTTGACACAAATTGAATTTTTCCTGAACACTATGATATTAATATAGATTTTTATTCATCAATAAAGTCAATAAAACAAAATACCTGCGTGTGTATTTCAGTGATAAAAATATGGGCAAGCTTTTTGGTGGAGAAAAATTCAAATGTTACATAATTTTATTATTTTTCACATCTGAGCTCCACCCATTTATTAATATATGATAAATGTAAATTAATGTTTATCATTAATTTTGTTAAACAAAAATATGAATGTTTCAGATGGCCGACATAAACGGTATGTAAGACTGAACTTTCAGTGTGGAATTAATGGGAAACATTGTTTATATGGGAAACAATTCTTTACGTTGAATACAAAACTACCAAAAACATGGATACATCTCATGTTCTTAGCTGTTCAGGTATGTCTATTTTTAGAAATTGTTTACCAAACTTACAAGTATTCTATTTTTAGAATGAAATAAATGTTCTGTTAGTATTATATTGAAATTATATTAAAGGGACTCTACTGAGTTTTTTTTACATGATGGGACTGGAAATGGTTTTTGGAGATTTTTGTCCCATTTGATATAGGTCTAGACCAATAATTTGTGTCCAAAATTTCAGATCTTTTGCTCCCTTTGTTTTTCCAGAATAGGTTTTCTTGTGTTTTATGCTTTTGGACCTCACTGGAATCCTTTAAGCATTTAATTCAAACTACATGTTGTACACATGCTAAAAACTGAAAATCATTTCCATTATCTCAAGCAGAAAATTTGTGATGATGAAAAATTATTTCCTTTATAAAATCATGAGAATAGCATGTACAGCTAATCTGTAAGTTACAGAAACTTCCTGTCTATTTCTATGAACTGATTAAGTGCATTTTGTTCTGACTAATCTTATAGGCCCAGTCACAGTCTGCTTTGAGTCAGCAGGATTATAACGTGAGCAGTTTGAAGGCATGCTGGGATGCTTTATACCCGGAGAAAGGCAACAGTGGTTATCTCACTCTCGTCACTTCATCATTCCCTGTTGCTAAGGTAACAAACATTTAGCTATGAATGTAATGCATGTTTATTATAATCAAGCAAGTCTGATTTTATTTGTTGATTATACAGAATGGTTTTAACTGGTTATTCTTGATATATAACAATCTAGTGTGTCTTAACCAAGGACAAATATTAAGACCAATGACGGTCATAAATGGTACATTATTTAGAGCTTATTTGTTGATCTTACAATTTTTGTGGCAACAGTGTGCTATAGACCAGTGCTTTAGGCCAGTATACTGTTAGGAAACTAATTTAAATAGTCCCTGGGTATGGACAGCAGATGACCATTGTTTGTGCCATTTATTGACTTTATTAAATTTTGTTCACAGAAAACCAAATTTATCTGTTTGTCAAAATTGGATGAATTAAATTGTATGTTAGTTGATGAAAAACAGTTTTCGTAATAAGTGATTCCGATTATACTTTCCTTAGTGATTCCCAGTATTTTATTGAGTCTATTGTTGAGCATGATACATAAATTATATCATGGTGTTCACTAGGACCAAGATGCTTTGTTACAAGAGATGCACAATGTGAGATATTTTGATGTGTTTGAGTTTAATGCAGTGAAGAAGTACTGGGCATGTTTTATGTGTAACCATCCAGAGAAGATGTCAGAATTGATGCCAGATGGCAACCCTGTTATAGCTGTAAGTAACTGATAAGTAAAGGCGCTATATACTTATCAAAAATGATTATTTACTTTCTTATTTATAAGTATTAGTTTCATTTTAAGTAGCACTGACAATTTTATGTGCATATGGCTATATTCTAACTGTATTGGTAGACAAAGACCCTGATGCCCATTATGTGCATTATTTCAAGGGTCATAGTTTAAAACTGTTCACTATTTAGGGAAGAAAATGTGTTATATGCCAGAGAGCTTAGTCTTTAGAGCTGTGAAATGGTATTCCAAGGGTCCTGGGTTCGAGTCCATGTCAGGTTGCACATTTTTCTCACCCTCTTACACAAGCAAAGAAGTATTTCTTACAAGTTAGCCTGATAGCTTCCTTACAGAAAAAAAGCCCCATGTATTTTAAGGTAAACAGCATGTAAGCAGATGTGATGACTTTTATTCTTAACTATTGTTTTTGTATAAATTCAGGGTCAGCTTAAAGAAAAGAAGGGCAGATGGAAGTTTTTAAAGCGTTGGAAAACGAGATATTTCACATTGTCTGGTACCCAGATTAGCTACAACAAAAGTGATTCTGTAAGTACATTACCTGGTAGATGGTGTCTTAAACTATACTTAACAAGCAAACAGACTAACATTTTATTGACATCAAGGCCACCAGCCCATGCCAACTTGTACATTTCATGATATTAACATTTCATGTGAGCGGTATATTCAACATATGTTTATGAAACATATACACTATGCATATACAATGTATTAGATTGAAATAAACATACTTAATTATATAATTATTTGTATAAAAAGGTTAAACATTCAGTATATTCTGAGTAATCTGAATCTGTAAATACTGTGATTAACTAGTGATAAAAGTCACTTCTGAATATAAAGGAAATTGGTTCCTAAAAGCCAACAATTTATAATCAAATTTTAAAATTATATGACAAATGTACCTATTTAAAAAGGCCACCTGTCAGGAAAAAACAAACTTTTTCATCCTCTTTGTGTCCTAAGGGTTGAATTAAAGTTTTACAGTATTAGAAAATAATGAAATGTCAAAAACGTCATTTGACAGGCACATTATGCCTCAGGTACAAATAATTTTATTTTACTTTTGAAGGGCAAAAATGACTTAATACCTTCAGTGCATGTAACATACTTTTCACCTGAAGAAAGAAGTTTTGAATATAGAAATTATTTGTCATAAAAGGAGCAAAATGTAAACAAACAAGTATTTTGACTTTAATACAAAATACTAAATCGCTGCCAGCATTATAGAGTCTGGTCTAACTGCACAGATTTTGCAGGCTGGTGAGACTCTAAATTGATGGCATTTAACTAGTAATTATATAAGCTCTGCTTGCATCCAAAGTTTATTTTTTTATTTTGTTTTATGCACATGTTCGTTCGTTTGTTTGCGGATTTCTTATGCGGATATCAACACAATTTTGGTTATATTTTGACAGCCTGTCCACCCTACCAGCTTTTAGGGATGATTTATCAGTAATTTACCAATTTCTCCTCTTATCCTTGACAAATGACCATTAAACTCGTCAGCATCCATAATGTTATGATAATGTTATACTGGGTACATTATTTATTTGATATTACATTTTTACAGAGAAAAGAAACATTACCAGTTAGAGAGATACAGAGTGTTAAAGCTGTGAGAAAAGGTATACGTGACATTCCAAAGGCATTCGAAATATTCACTTCTGATCAGAATTATGTATTCAAGGCCAAAGGTCAACAGAACATTGAACCCTGGGTACAATGTATCCATTTAGCTGTGGCAAAGGCAAATGACGAGGGCGCCGAGGAGCACCAGGTTGTGGAGGATATGATGTTACACAGACCGAGGGCTGCTGTGCGAGATACCAAGTTATAGCACTTTGTCTATTTCATTGTAATTGAAGAATGATGCTATTGGATTGATGTCATTGGTCAGATGCCATTGGATTGATGTTATTGGTCTGATGCCATTGGATTGATGTCATTGGTCTGATGCCATTGGATTGATGCCATTGGACTGCTGTTATTGGTCTGATGCCATTGGATTGATGTTATTGGTCTGATGCCATTGGATTGATGTTATTGGTATGATGCCATTTGATTTATGTCATTTGTGAGATGCCATTGGATTGATGTTATTAGTCTGATGCCATTTGATTTATGTCATTTGACTAAGTTAGCACTTTCATTTTAGCATGCTATATAAATGACTGAAAATCGGAATTACACTTTGGTAGATAACAACACAATTATAATTTTTATCTTGAGGGAATATGTAATTGTTTATCCAAAGTTAATTGTAACAGTAGAAAATATAAGCTCTAAATCTTGAAGAATGTTTAAGTTTAAATTGAAGTCAAATATTCATTGGAAAATTTAATTCATTTTTATTATTGGTTAGGGAATTATATAAGAATATTTTGGATATTGATTTTTGAAAGTTATATCTAGAAATATCCTGAAATATACAGTTTCAATGAATCCTTGATAAATTTACTGATGTCAGTGAATTAAAGTACAAAGGATGTTGAAATAGTCTAATCTATGCAATCTTGTATTTTCCTTTTTGGAAAGGAAAATGAAACATATCATTTACTGGTGCAGAACATGTGAAATATAAGCTATATTACATTTTGAAATGAGATATTTTCTATAACAGTGAGAAACATTTATTTTTCCCAAAGTGTGATAGATATTGGCATTTTTTTTCCATAGTAGATGATATATGTAGCGCTATACATTATATTTCACTGTCAAAACTCACTTCTCTCAGATTGACATGAATTTCTTAGTGGATGATATATTGATAGTGATATTGTTTATATTTCACTCACTATCAAAACTTGCAATTTTTTTCGGTTTGGCATACATTTGTATGTAAATCTAAAGAGGGACTTATAAATTATTTTTTGTAGTACACTCTAGTCATTACGCCTACTGTATTTACTCGCCATTAGATTGATCACTTATAAGAGGGGGTCATATTTTGACTGAAAAACAGCACTTTTTGCTAAAGCCATCTTATAACATGGGTAGAATTTGTTTAAATGAAAAGTACTACTGCACCTTATATTTTAATGGAAAAAATGTCAAAAAATCATGAAAATGAATAGACTGAGCGGGCGGATGAATAACCATTTTCAAAAAGTACATTTAGTTAAATTGTCTAATAGGCGAGTAAATACGGTACATTTAAAAGGCATCACAAATTAAGATAAGAGACAGATGTTTAATCAGAGCTTTGTTATCATCAAACTAACGAGGTCATTCAATACATAGTTTGGTTTGTCAGCAAATAAATTTTTTTTTTGTGTTTTAATTTTTAATAGCATTTTATACTACTCTTAAACGATTTTCATATCTTATGGTATTGTTTCATCATTATTGCAAAATGAAAAAGAAAGTGATGAAACTTGAATAATTATGAAACCCAGTCTGTAAGTTTTTCAATCTAATTGGTTAATGACAAGTTAAAATTTGAAATTGACCAATAGCAGTGTTCCATTCCAAGACTGGTTATAAAGCTGAAGTTTTTAAAATGTCATGTCCCAATTTGTTTTATAAGTATCAGACCACTCATATTTCATCAGGGTTATGACAGAAGTGTCAGATAAGCATTTAGTTTGTTACAATGATTATTATTTATTTATATGTATAATAACTTGAGAGATATGTATAGAGTCTGTCAGGTGATTCCATTATGTGTTTGATGAGCTATATAACATTTAGGTAATGATTTTATGTCATTCTATATGAACTTACAAAAAATGTAAGATTCTGAATATCACATGTTGTTATAAAGCAAGAAAACGGTGAAAAAAATCCAAAATCACCATTTGACGGCCATTCTTATGTAAAACATGTGTAGAGTTGTATGTAAAATAATGTGAAATAGTTACATTACACAGGATACTAGCAACATCTTGTGATAAATGAATATTTTGATAATTTATATGTACATGTGTAACTTGTCAACTGCTCTTATGCAGTTACGTTTTTTTGAAATCTTTCTTTTAAGTCAAGTTTTATATCTGTGCTTAGTACAGTCATATAAGTAACAGTTTGACATATATATGATAATAAATCATGTTACAGATAAAACCATTACTTCATATTTGTGATGTCATAATTTTTGTAATGAAAAGAATGAAAGTAAATGGACCTTTGTTCTTTTTAAGTTGATTTTGTCTTAAACGTGTCACATGCTAAATTTATGAAATTGACATGCCCAGTTTTGAATTTGGCACAGTCCATTTAAAGTTTAAGGGATTTAAGTATAATAATACAAAAATTGAGCTATCAACAGTATAGAGCCTGGTCAGACTTTACAGATATTCAAGCTGGTCTGGCTTTATACTGGTGGCAAAGGTCAAATAGCGTTCAGTTCCTGCAGGTTAAAGGTTAAGGTCACTTAAGGTCACTTCATTCTGTATTATTCCTCATCCCATTGTGGAGGTTATTATATAAGCTATTTATCATCACACTATCAAATCATGACATCAAAATTGTTCATAAAATAATTTCCATAAGATTTATAGATTTATTGTTATACACAAATGTATTTTAATAAGAAACCATACAATGTTGTACATGTATGAACTTGCAGTTTTCTGGCACATTTTTTATCCTATAATGAAATTTCAATACATTTTTGTTACATGCTATTCTTACCAGATCCAAAATATAGTTTAGTTGCAGTGAAGTTATATATTTGAGGTAATAACTCTCCATGTTATATGATCAAGATATTATTATCTGTGATATTTCAGTAAACCTATTAAACAATCATTGTCAGTGAGAATTGCATATTTCTGTTTGGCCTAAAGATAAAAAATTGTATGTGTAAGTGTTTGGCCTAAAGACCAATATATACAACTAAGAACTGTATATTACTATTTGGTCTAAAGATAAATGTATACAAGTGAAAAAAAATATGTTACTGTTTGCCTTAAAGATAAATGTATTCAAGTAAGAATGGCATATTATTGTTTGGCCTAAAGATGAATATGTTCAAGTAAGAACTCATATTACTATTTGGCCTACAGACAAATGCATACAAATGAAAACTGAATATGACTGTTTGGCCTAAAGATATTTGTACTTTACAGAGAACTGCATATTATTGTTGGTCCTAAGATTGAAAATTGCATATTACTGTTTGGCCTAAAGATAAATGTTCATTTATGTATACAATTTGAAAATTGCATATTGCTGTTTGGCCTAAAGATAAATGTACAATGTATACAATTGAAAATTGCATATTACTGTTTGGCCTTAAAGATATACTATGCTCAAATTTGATATTAGAAAATGTTGATAATTGCTACATGGCCTCTTTGTATGTAAAATAAACATGTTTTGTCTTCACACAAAGTAGATATGTTGTATTTAAAACTCTACACACTATAGGTGTTCACAATATAAATAAATAGTGTCATTAAATTTTTAAGAAAAGACCAACTGTACTTGACCTGTAATAGGGAATGCAGCTTCCAATACATAGTTTATTCGCTCTTTTATTCAAACTAGACATACTCCGTAAGAATTTCATACATTTCTATAAATGTCTTGATCAAAATATTTTACTCAAGGATGAGCATAGTATATCTTTAAGATAAATGTACAGTGTATACAAGTGAAAACTGCTATTTTCAGACTGTGATCTGCTGATAAAGTCTGGTTTGTAATCTCATGGTTCATGAAACTATATTTGTATACATGATATTTTTGTGTTATAATGATATCATATCTACTTTCATTACATTCCATTTGATATATCACCATTACCATTTTCAGACTGTGATCTGCTGATAAAGTCTGGTTTGTAATCTCATGGTTCATGGAACTATATTTGTATACATGATATTTTTGTATTATAATGATATCATATCTACTTTCATTACATTCCATTTGATATATCACCATTACCATTTTCAGACTGTGATCTGCTGATAAAGTCTGGTTTGTAATCTCATGGTTCATGGAACTATATTTGTATACATGATATTTTTGTATTATAATGATATCATATCTACTTTCATTACATTCCATTTGATATATCACCATTACCACTTACCAATGCATAATTATTGTCTTTAATGTCTCCTGGACTTGTTAAGCAAAGCAAGTGTGTCTTTTTTTATTGTGAATATAAGATTATTGTTAGTAATTGGTGGCTTGACAGCTATAGAGCCAAGCTTTTGATAAAGAGTTTGTTGTATAGGGATTATGAGTTTTCAAGATTCATAAAGAACAAATCTTGAGATTTATTAGGGATGGGGGAACAGAGGGGGCAGAGGTTAGATATAGTTATGATAGTTATTTGTAGAAGGTGTTAGCAATAAGTTAGTGGCTAAGAAGCCATCATGAATGTATTTAAGGACACCATGGAACTAAAAGTTTGTTTTGCTTTTGATAATATATGCATCATATCTCACATAGAAGTAGACATTTATTTAAAGAAAAGATTTTAGCATACTCTATTCAAGTTAAACAAATTTCTACATGGTAATAGGATCGGGGTTATAGTAAATGCATTATCGTCTATTGAACAAAACAATTTTTTTTTCACTTTTCCTACAATGACGGGATTTTTATGCCACCGCAGCATCTGCGATGCGGTGGCATATAGCGATTCACCTGTGTGTGTGTTTGTTTGTGTGTGTGTGTGTTATATAGATTATATAGTGAACTTAAAAAATCTTCTTGTGAAAAACCACTAGTCCAATTTCAACCAAACTTGGCAGGATTGATCCTTGTGGTGAAGGGCTTCCAAAGTTGTTCAAAGAATTTCATTCCATGCAGAAATCTGGTTGCCATGGCAACAAAAGGTTATTTAAGAATAAATTTAAAAAATCTTCTTGTAAAGACCAAAAGGCGTAGAGCTTAGATATTTTGCATAAGGCATTGTCTGGTAGACCTCTACCAAGATTGTTCAATTAATAGCCTTGGGGTCAAAATTGGCCCGCCCCGGGTCATTGATTTTCACTATATGTACATATAGTAAAAAACTTAAAATACCTTCTTGTAAAGACCCAAAAGGCCTAGAGCTTAGATATTATGCATAAGGCATTGTCTGGTAGACCCTTACCAGATTGTTCAAATTATAGCCCTGGAGCCAAAATCAGCCCCGCCTTGGGGGTCATTGATTTTCACTATATGTACATATAGTAAAAACTTAAAATACCTTCTTGTAAAGACCCAAAAGGGCCTAGAGCTTAGATATTTTGCATAAGGCATTGTCAGGTAGACTTCTACCCCAGATTGTTAAAATTATAGCCCTGGGGTCAAAATCGGCCCCGCCCCGGGG